AGGGTAGAATTGTATTTTTCACCCCTAAAATGGCTATATTTCATCTTTTTAAAAAATATGGCTGTATTTCATTTTTTACTTCAAAAAAGTGCTAAAAACCGGCGGCTCTCAATATTTTAAGTATTATAAGATGCCATTATATAAGTAGCTAGTTTGTAGCGTTGAATATGATATTTCACATTGCTGTTAAAAAGAAAAAGAAAAGAAATATGATAGTATTTCATTTATTGTTTTAGATTCAAAAGTTTCGGTAGCTATGATCCCTAATTAATGACGGTAGGCAGCTGCTACATCCTACAAATAATAATGTGCCATGGAAGTGCCTCTAGAAATGCAGTTGCAAAAAGAAAAAATAAACAAAATAATTAATATAAATCGATTACTATTTTATACTAGCACGAAGCCACCAACCCCTTTACTTTACAATAATGTTGTAGAAGTTTTTTAAGTCACCTCAACAACACATATACCAAATAAAATTAAGATTATCTTACTTTTTATTTATTTTAAATATATAAAAAAAATTATCCCAACTTATAATAAAATATGCACATTTAAGTCCAAATGATAGCACTAATATATTATTAAGAAAATGATAAAAAAATAATATAATTGGTATTTAAAAAAATTGAAAAATTACCACCGAGCCGCCTAGGTTCGTTTAGGCGCCTGGTCGACGAGTTCGTCGAGTCTATCTAGAAGCGCTTAGGCCCGCCTAGACGCCTGACCGATTCTTTCTGTTGATTCATGGAAATCGAACATAGCCGCCTAGACCGATTTTTATTGCAGTACTTTATAGTGATCATATTTATTTTCTTTGTCCTATTCCATCTTCTATGACTATTCTACTCAAACTTATTGCAGCTAGAGAAAACCATACTGCAATAATTCATTGTATGTATATGTAAGCCTCTCCATATTTTCAAACTTGAGGTTCTTTTTATTTGACCAAACATAAATTAAAATAAGCTACGCAAAATATTTTATTGACCGGTTTTAGGATACTCCACACTTGAAAATTATTTTCATCTAAATAATTGCCCCTATCTTATAAGTAACTTCCCAAATTCTACCCTCAAATTACATTTCTCTCTCTCTCTCTCTCTCTCTCTCTCTCTCTCTCTCTCTCTCTCTCTCTCTCTCTCTCTCTCTCTCTCTCTCACTTAATTTGAGCAATGGAAATTATACAATCGGCCGGAAACCGGCGGAAAAGTGGCTACAACCGATTAACTCTGGCAAGCCGTAGAAACCTTAAAGTGTCCAAGTTAGGCGGCTCCAAGCGTTCATGGCGGCTCAGGCTCACACCGAAACTGCGGCTGGTCAGGCTGGCTTCGCCGCTCAGGCTGTGGCGTCGGTTGAAGAACGCGTACATGAACATGATGCTCAAGTTCGCCGGCACCGGTTCCGGCGGCTCGAACGCCGTTAATGCTTTCGGGGTGAAGAGGATACCGAAAGCACGTGGCGTCCCGATGGCTTACTCGAGGGCGGAGTTTGAGAACCGGCTGATTTTCGAGATCTACAAGTCAATGGTCGATTCTTTTGAACTGGGCTACCAAAAGCAAGTATAGTTTCTATATATTATTTTTTTTTCAATTATTGTTTTCTATTTTTAACATGTATCTTGCGTATGAAAAGAAAAATGAATAACTTTGTGTTATTAATATATATAAGTTGATTTTATTATTTGCTATCAATTATAGCAAAGTGTAAGTAATTATTTGATTTACCGTTTTGTTGATATCTTTACTGAAATGCCAAAAATGACATTTTTTTTTTTTTTTGTATCTTATATTTGTGTTGTAAGAATACTGCGCCAAAATATTGTTGTACGAAAAAATCGGTATTAACAATGATAGAAATTTTATAGATCAATCGGATAGTTTCTTTTATGGAGTCATTCATAACTTTATGTACTGACACATGTCCAATGTGCATCTATAACTCCATAAGTCAAGTCATTCGATGGCTCTAGCAAAACCGTCAACAATGATGTGTAATTTTGGTAGTTCTTGATTTAAAATTTAGTGTCATATGAAAAAAGATCATGTCATATATATAAACATAGATAATTTGACATTTGATGGGTAAGCTGCTATATATTATTTGAAAATGTTGGCTATTAAGTTCAAAGCATGTGTTCTGGGACTTTTCTTTCACAGTGGTCTATTAGATACGTGTGAGACTTTTCTATGGATGTTTAACAACTAGTGTGTACCCCGTGCGATGCACGGTAACAATATTACATTAACAATATTATAAATATACTTCGTGTTTGAGTCACTCAATGGCGGAAGTGGAATATTTAAAAAGAAGAAGAGAAAAATAATAATTACATATTAAAGTGTTGGGGTCAGACAATGTAAATTTTTTTTGTATAAGAGAATATAAATTTTATATTATTTTGTATAATAGAATATAAAATTTGTATGTTTAATATTAAAAACACCTAAAATGTTATATTAGTATATTTTTTTTGTATAAGAGAATATAAATTTTATATTATTTTGTATAATAGAATATAAAATTTGTATGTTTAATATTAAAAACACCTAAAATGTTATATTAGTATATGTAAAAGTATTCAAAATTTTCTATATTATTTTTAAAAGATATGAAGTCATCTACAACTTTTCTAAACAATTTTAGAAAGAAAAGATATCTACAAACATTTGAATTTAACATTATGTAAAAAAAAATCTAGATTATTTTGTAAAAAAAGAATGTCTACAAATAATAAAATTTAACATCAATTATGTATATGTGTATATGTGTATCTATAGACGAATATATAAAAAAAATGTCTAAACAATTTGCTTAAAATAACTAAAATATTATAAGACTAATTTAATACACCTTCGGTCAAAAAAAAAGAAAAAAAAAAAACCAATATCTACACATTAAATCAGATGTAATGTTTCGAAATTTCTGCCTAAAAAGAGTTTAAATGAAAAGGAAACAAATCAACACAATATCTATTATATTGTTAACCTAAAAAATAGGAAAAAGGGAAACATCACAAAAATCATCGCATGTATTATTTTATTAACCTAAAAAAATAGGAAAAAGAAAAACATCACAAAAATCAGCGCACGGTTTTTTTTTTTTTGTTAACACTATATCACTGTTTATTTAATGATTTTAGAGGGAAAATAATGATTTTAGCAGGTATTTAATGATTTTAGAGGGAAAATAATGATTTTGGCGGGTATTTAATGATTTTGGAGGGAAAATAATGATTTTGGCGGGAAATCATAAAAAGGTTATTCTTTTAATATAATGATAGATATTTATTGTTGTTAGTTAGGCTAGATGAGGGACGGTAAATAATATTAAATAATATTAAAATTATAAATAAAATTCATATATCATATAATTATCTACGCTAATTTATCGAAAATCATATCTATATTCTATATAGAGAGAAGAGATCATATTAGAAAGAGTGATACTGAAAAAAAATAAGAATAATATTGAACCATTGGATCCACCAATCCAATGATGATAATCAAGTCAAAAATTATTAATTATGGTCAAATATGAATGGCAATGTTGTGTATGCGCCCGTCTAAGCCCAGTTTGAAGCGGCGACACTCTGTTGTAACGTGCAACCCGGTAGAGCTTGAACAGCTCTCGGTCAGTCCTGGGCTGATCCCGGTTGTTCCCGAACAACACCCGGTCGACCACGAATCGCACCCGGTTTGTCCCGAACACGTCCCGATGACTTCGTTTCAAGCTGAAAACGGAAATCAACAATAAATACACAAATTTCAGCTTTTAACCAACATGAATAAATTGAAATAACTGAAAATAAATAAAGAGATTAATAAGAAAGGCTACACCTTTTTACGTATACGAATTTGGAAGCCACACTGAAGTGTTGAATTACATAGGCTCAGGCCCCGTATAATTAAACCCACAAGAATCACAAAGATACTAGCTCCGGACCATGGCCATTTGAACCACTCGCACCTGAATTCGTTAGCACAAAGCCTCGTACAAAGGAACCCAGAATTACTCTCACATAGATACACAAAGTACCAAATGTTTTTATGCATTCACACTCACAAAGCACCGCAACACTCTGTTTTTACCTCAGTCATAGAGCACTCACAATATATATGAAAGGAGATGAGAGAAAAATAGGGGATAAACGGGTGAAAATCAATCATGCCGATTTGAAGGGATTTTGAATTTGAAAAACACTTATCTAACCAATGGTTTTGGAAAGGAAGAGTGATCGGGAAAACGGCAGAGGAGATTATTCCAACTGCAAAAAAAAATTGTACACGGGTCTAAATTGCTATTAAGGAGTTGGGCCGGTGGACCGGGCCGTGAAGGAGTAATTCTTGGGGGAGGCATCCACAAAGGTCATTTGGGCCACAAAAAATAACAGGCAGCATTGTATATAAATATATAAATGAGAAAATTACCTCCTACACCAGGTAATTCATATTTTATTGTATAATTAAAACTATTTTACAAATATTTGCAATATAGCAAGAAATCTTAGTTTTATTTGCAACTTTACCTAAGATGTAATTCAGATACATAATCAATAATCAGAAAAATTTAAGGAAACGTATCTTCTTCTCCTTCTTCTTCTTCTTCTCCTTCTTCTTCTTCTTCTTCTCCTTCTTCTTCTTCTTCTTCTCCTTCTTCTTCTCCTTCTTCTTCTTCTTCTCCTACTTTTTCTTCTTCTCCTTCTTCTCCTTCTCCTTCTTCTTCTTCTTCTTCTTCTTCTCCTTTTTCTCCTCCTCCTCCTCC